TGAACTAGATGTAGTAAATCCTAGCACTTAGAGTGCTGAAGCAAGATTGTTATGGGTTTCACTCCAGCCTGGACTGCATAGTGACTTCTGGACAAGCCTGGGATACAGAGGGAGACCCTATTCCAAATACCCAAATGAAAATACTGCCATTGGAAAAGAAATAAATGTAATATGAAAAAATACAAAAGGTAATAATATACAAAGAAAGAAGATCAAAGACGTGTGTTCACCGTATGATAGCTATAAACATTTGCAGTGATGTTTCACCCTGGCCATCTGACCAGCTTCTTATCCCACTAATGCCAGCCTCTTTTTTTTAAATTGCTGTGGAATATGCTTAAATATAAAATGAACCCATTAGCATTCCCGTGTTGCCATAAAAACAGCAGGCTGTAGCATCGTGATTCCAGAGGAAATTTCTGTGAGGAAGAGCCACATGGAACACTGACCAGAAACAGAACCAACCCCGAGATTTTAGAGCTCTTTGTTGCTAAAAGAACAAATTTATTTATTCCAGAATGAAACTGAAACAGCTATATTACATTTCTGCACTCATTAATTAGTTTAAGAAATAAAATGTTTATGATATTTAGATTAACTGCTTACATTCTTTTCCAAAACACTTCCACTTTGCAACATTCTCAAAAGAAACCCACATTAATGTTTCATGTTTACCATTATTGCATATTTTCATAATGTATCAATCACATATATGTAATTCTATATACAATATGTCATAAAGTTATGTAGATTTAGCACTTCATGAAAATATTCCATACTGTAATATTATAGGAGTTGCTCTTCATCCCCTTATTTTGCTATGTACGCTTATATTTAGAGGTTAGGATCATTCTTTGTAACAGCTACATGAAATTCTGGGGCTAAAAGAGCAAAACTCATCTATTTTGCTGTTAATAAATTTTATACTATTGCCAAGCTTCATTCATAATTAAATGAATATTTATGGCTGTGATTCCATATTGTAATTGAACTACTTCATACTTCTTCATGATAAGTTTCGATAATAGGA